AAGTTCCAAACGTGGACACCCTCCAGGAACACTTGAACCAATACCAGGACAACTCCAAACTAATGTCTGGGGATCTGTAGCCGAAACCTTGGCCATGTCTCCCAGCAGGAAGCAGGGAACAGTGTGGCGGGTCATCCCTTACATGCTCAAGGCATCGGCTTCACAGAGAAAACCCTGTGCTCTGAACTGAGACCAGCCTGAGCGAGCACAAACCTCTGTAGAACTAGCTGTACTTCTGGTAGCAAAACACCACTACACAAGGGCCATATTATGTTTGCAGGCTCCAGGGCAAACCCAGCACATGTCCGAAAGTAGCCCAGGATTGGAGTTTACCAGGGAATGAGTAACTCAGAAAGAGGTTTGCAAACTGTGGGTCTAGACCAGATGGAAAAACAAGCTCCTGGCTTACATGAAGCCAGCACATGGTGCCAGCAATAGCCGCCTCCTCCTCCCGGACCACATTTGGGGAAAGAATGGGAATTATAGTAATCGGAATCACACATACTTTCTGAGGCAAAGAAAGTCCCTACCATGAAACAAAAGGAGGTTCATTTACATTGTCTCTGGTTCATTAAGATACTTCTGCCTGGCTCCCACACTGATTCAAGCAGAAAACAGCCACCACAGCCGAGAGAACACAGTCTTCTGAATGAAATTAGCTATTGTTTTCCCGCCCACCCCCTTTGACCTTGAGTGATATTTACACATGAAATATGGAAAAGATAAGGCTATGATTAAGTTTGTCTGTGCAGTGAGGTGAACGATAAAACAGACGCATAACAAGGAAGCTGATAAAAATCTAAAGGAATTTCTACAATAAAGACTTAAGTAATGAAAAATGTTTATGGATATGATTGATGAGGCTTAAAGAATGGTTCAGCACATAAGAGCACTTGTCACCAAGCCTGATGGCTTGAACGTAGGTTGAATCCCTGGGGCCTACACAATAGGAAGCAAGAACTGAATCTTGCAAGTTGTCCCCTGATCTCCACCAATGTGCCATGGCACAAACATGTGCAAAAGCATGTGTGTGCAAACATACACACTAGATAAATAAAAAACAGAAATCCTTAATAATAAAGACCTTCTCAGGATTTCCATTTCATTGATTCCCCCATAAATCTCCCTGAAGCTCTAACATTGTCGATGCAAGAATTATCATGCAGATATAAGATGTAAGAATTACCAAAAGTCCCATGAACCATGCACATCTAAATGCCTTTAAATAGTTCTCACTATGATTTTCACTTTAGGTCAACTGTATCACCCACGCTCGTGAAGATCAAATCCATAGGTATTAAATGACCATCACTTATTCATCAAATGCGGTGAGAGACCCAACAGGAAATACCAGTGTCTCAGAGGTTATGATCTGAAGAGGAAACATAGAACCAGGTAAAACAGTGCATAAGATTTAAATGCAGATTTTAATGCATTGAATCCACCACATGGCCATCACGGTGGGTGAATGCACGACGGTATAGGCCAAAGGCCACTCTGGGCATGCTAGAGCTGCCAGGCTGGACAGGGAATAGAGGGCTCTGTCACCTTTTGTCAAGGTGAGGCTTAAGAGTGGTAGGTAGGTAAGGTAATAGGTGTCCAGTTCTAGCCGCAAAGCTGGCCAGGTTTCAGAGCTGGTGCTTATGTAAACACTCAGAGCCGTTCACCTTCTTCTGGAAGGCACAGACCAATCCTGCCCACCTCCCAGGTGGCACAGAGGGTAAGCGAGACTCCCCGGCACATTCCCAGCAGACGGCTGGTGCTCAGGAACTATTAACACCATGCCTTTCTGTAATTTAGTCTGGAACATTTTTTTTTTTTTGTCCTGAGTGTCATGACACTTGACAAACCCAAACGTAAGGGTGTTTGGGGGGAGAGGGGCATAGGGCTCTTCTATCTCACAATGATTTTGAAGCCCCACCTCCTCCCCAGTAGTGAGTCCTATCAGATTTCACTGATGACTCTTAAGAGAGGTAAGTCATCTGCACTGCTCCCAAATAAATACAAATGTTTCTTGATTTACACCTCTGAAAAGAATCTCTTTTTGTTTCGGGATTTCTCAAACCTACTTCCATTCTCAGAGGCACTGCCCTTGCCAGGCCTCTCCTTAGACCCGTGTAATCATCTTCCGCCATACCAACCTACTCAAGGAACTGTTAGCAAGAACACAGTCCCCTTCTGGCCTCTGGTTGGCTTGTGAGCTTTGCTGTTTTCACTGTCACAGGCATGTGGATAAAGCCAGCCATCTGTTCTAGAATTTCTCTCCGTAATTGCTGGAGACACTGCATAGGACTGTAGTGGTACAGTTAAGAAATTGTCCTAGCTTCCATACTATTACTATGATGAAACACCATGATCAAAAGCAAGCTGGGGAGGAAAGGGTTTCTTTGGTGTACACTTCCACATCATGGTCCATCACTGAAGGAAATCAGGACAGGAACTAAAGCAAGGAAGGAACCTGCTCGAGGAGGCAAGAGTTGACGCAGAGGCCTTGGAGAGACATTTATTGGTTCCTTCCCTCTGCCTTGCTCAGCCTGCTTTCTTATAGAATCCAGGACCACAAGACCAGGGATAACACCACCCACAATGAGCTGGGCCCTCCCTACCAATAACTAATTAAGAAAATGCCCTCCAGGCTTGCCTGCACCCTGATCTTATGGGAGCAATTGAGAATCTCTTCTCTCAGGTGTCTACAGCTTGTGTCAAGTTGACATAAAACGAGCCAGATCACAAATCTATCACCAATGCCATTTATTTAGGGACTCTGCTGATAGGCAGACAGTGACTCCGGCCTAAAATCCACGAGGAAGAAGGAAGGAACGGTCAGTTCTTGAGAAGCCAGTTCAGATGAAAATGAAAAGTCCCGAAGTGATTATGCCTTCTTTCACTTAGTGGGAGGAACTTGTCCTTCTGGTTTCAAAACACCAGCATCCATTTCATGCAGCCTGACACCTTTGTCGCAGTCTGATCCCTTTGTTTATTTATTCTACGGTTTCTCCTGATGTCATGTGGGAAGGAAATGAGCCAGCTGAAAGCACCGTGACAACACAGGTTAGATATAAGACACTTGACCTTCCTCGGCTAGAAAGCGGCCCCCTGGTCTGTCCTGGAGAGCACCGGGAACTCCTGTGACAGACTGGTCAGGACTGGGTTCCAGGGGAGCTGTGCAGAAAGGCTATTCCTGTCAGCAGCAGAATTTTAAATTTTGCAGTCATCACAGTACGTGGAGAAGGTGCATGCTGCCTCTATTCTACAGAGCATTCTTTCTGACAGGAACAGGGCCAGTAGACATTTAAAAAAAATCCCTAAGAACATTTGTTTGCCAAAATTTTTGTTTGTTTTGCAATTAATGGTTTCTTCACGTTGAGCAAATATGGCCATTACCATAGAGAGAAGGAAGCTTTCATAGAGAATAGACAAGGGTTCAAATAATAAAGGGCAAAAATGCCATAGTTGTTTAACGGTTTAAAATTATTAAAATGGTAAATTTGATTAATATTATTAGTATTAATATAGCATTGAAAAGTCTTATATGCATAGAATCTATAATTACTCCTTAGATTAACAAGTCAAGGAAATCAGTATTTACACAGGACAGACAAAAAATCCACAGAAAGCAACTGATTCTTTTTTAACATTTTTTCATGTATTGAAAACAGATTATTTTCCCGTACAGTACGTCCTGATAAGAGTTTCAGCTCCCTCTACTCCTCCCAATCCTCCCCACAGTCCCTCCCCCTTCAGATCCACTCCCTTTCTGTCTCTCATCAGAGAAGAATGGGGTTCTAAGAAATAACGACCGAATACGACTATAACAAGATGAAGGAAAAACTCTCATGTCCAAGTTTGGACGTAACACCCCAACGGGGGGACAGAGTCACAATAGCAGGCGCAGGAACCAGAGAGCCACACATTCTCAGTCAGGAGTGCGCTAAGGATACACAACTAACAGCTGCAGTATACGTGCCGAGGACCCCTGCAGGCCTGCACCTGCGGCTTCAGGCTCTGCCAGTTCCTATGCACCTTGCTGAGCAGATTCGGAGGGCTTGCTCCCCTGCTCTCCTCCATCCCCTCTGGCTCCCGTCTGCCTCCTCTTCTTCCGGGTTCCCCGAGTTCGGAGGGGAGAGATCTGATGAAGATCTCCCACTTAGACTCAGTCTCCACATAATGTCTAACTGGGTCTCTGCAGCTGTTCCCCTCCGCTGCCAGAGGCAGCTCCTCTGATGGTGGCTGGATAAGGCCCTCATCTCTCAGTATGGTAGAATATCATTAGGAATCATTTTATCGATTTTTTTTTTTCAGACCAGAAGTTTTGGTTTAACCCTAGTCTCTGGAATGTCTACTCTCTAGTTCTTGGTTACCAAAGCAGTGTCGGGTGTGGACTCCTTCTCATGGAGTGGGCCTTAAGTCAGATCAGACGTTGATTGGGTTATTCCCACAAGTTCTATGCCACCATTACCCTAGCATATTATACAGGCAGGACAGATTGTAGGTTAAAGATTTTGTGGCTGAGTTGGTGTCCACATTTCTGTTTTGGTCGCCTGCAGAGTGCCCCTCACTGGCTGAAGCACTCGGGAGAGAGGGTCCTGCACCTCTCCTGGGCTACACAATAGAGCTGACCCTGTTCACAGGGTCATGAGTGAACTGGCCCTGAGGGTATGAGAACGGGAGAGCCAGTCACACCTCTCTTGTATGCCATCTCGCCTGGCCCTATTTTCTAAATTTTAATACAATATACATAAACATACCACACAGATTAATTGGAAAAAATGTATCACCTGAAGATAACAATTTACTGTAATTAAACCAAACTTTTAGGGCTGGGAATAGTGATGTTCCCCTTAAATCCCAGCACGCAGGAGTCAGAAGCAGGCGGATCTCTGTAAGTTCGAGACCAGCCTGGTCTATTTGAGCTAGACCAGGACAAGCTCCAAAGCTACAGAGAAACCTTGTCTCGAAAAACAAACAAACGAAAAAAAAATTTATTTAACTAGAATTAAACATTTTATTAATAACTAAACTTGGCTAATACCTTGAAACGCACCTTTGTATACTTTGCATCTTGTCAAAAGGACTCTAAGCACTTCCCTGGAAAATGTCCCCTCCCTGCTGAATACACTCCCTGTTGCAAGCCAAAGCAATGAAATCAAGCCACTGACCTCAGAACTCTCCTGAAGCGCTACTCCACGCTCACTTGTGAGGAAGGTTGCTAATGGTGGTTTTCCTATTCCAAGGCTTTAATTTAATGATGTGTTACACAACTCAAACATGTTCATAGTCTACCATTAAAATAGGTAAACAGAAGGGAAGAAAGATCCTGTAATTCCCTATCTCAGAGGTAATAGCTGTTTCCTGTCTGGTATGCTTTCAATTAACCTTTCAGCAACAAGTCCGTCCCTCCCGCCGAGTGCTTACTTCCTAACACGACTTTCAGCAGTGTCTCTTCCACTCTATACACCATGCTTAACCAGCCCCCATTTGTGGAGGGCTCAGCTGCTCCCATCCGGCTGTCTTTTGGCCATTGTAATTGCAATGCCCACACTTCCCCTAGCTCATCAGATGTTTGCTTTGCATAGAGGGTGGAGCTGAGCCTGAGACTAGCTTACAGATGGTCCTGTCAACACTGTCAACACTTGTAGGATGTTGAGTGCTGAGCCTCCTACATTAGAGGAGCAGGGAGTGCTCCCAGCACTTGGACCAGCACATCTTATGGTCCACGTTGCTTGGAAGGAGACACAATCTAAAAGACTGATGGGAAGGAGGCCTGGGAAGTCAGTGCAAGATCCTCACGGAGTAGGCCCCAGGGCAGAGCTGTCTTCCAGGACTGCTGACCAAAGAGCCTAGGTCAGGTGAAGGGCTGGACACATGAAACTGCTCTCTGGGTGCCAGTCACCCTCCTTCCCAGCCATCCAGTCCTGGGGTTGTGGACATGCATATTCAACAACATTGTGTATCACTGGGGCCAGGGACCAAAGGAGGATGGTGCAAATTCTATTAAGATTTTCTTCAAATCTTTCTTTTTGAGTTTATTCCACATTCTTTCTGTGCAGTTTTGTAAGTTAGCATGCAATAGGCTGCACTGTGGCATTGCCACGCACAAGTGTCAATGCACGCACGAGTGTCAATGCACACACAAGTGTGTCAGTGCATGCATGAGCGTCACACACGGTTGAAATTTAACCTCCCCCCTTCTGTCCTCATTGTTTGAATCCACCTTCACCTTTACGTTCGGTGTCATTATAAAATGATAATAAGGTTACTTACTTTTTAAATTTACAACACTGCCCAAACTCAGAACAGAGTGTGACATTTAAGTATATGTTTTCATTCTTCTGGGACAGAAGCTTTATTTCTGTTTCGTCCAAAGCATCTTCTATTCCATCATTCTACACGACTCTCCTCAGTCAGAGAAATGACCAACCGGAAACTTTGGGAGGATTCCCTGGCTCATAACACCTGCCCCAGTGATCTGAAATTGTAGCCAAGAAATTCATTTCGGAGTCTTTTTTTTTTTTCTTGAGACAATATCTCATATGGCCCAGGCTAGCCTTGAATTTGTCATGCATCTGAAAATGACCATAAATTTCTGATCCTCTCACCTCCCTCTTCAAGTTCTGAGACCACAGGTGAGTCTTGGAACTTTTACTTTCGGTCTCCACCAACATCATGAGAGGAAGCAAGTAAGTCCCAGAAGCTGGTAGATCCGGAGGCTGTGGGAGGACAAGCTGCCATGGTAGAGGGGGAAGATTTCAGGAGGAGGAAGATGAGACAGGGAGTGGGCAGGAAAGATATCTCCCAGGAGGACACATTTAACCTGGCTGCAAATGCAGAGCCTCTCCTAGATGCAGCACCACCCGTTCGGCTGCTGCCCAAGTATCTTTTCATCCTCTCTCAAGCCAAAAGCTGACCAATCAGAGCACGGGAGTGACAGTCACACCTTGCTGGAGCCCGGGGTGTGAGGTGGAGGCTCTCTGATGGAGGAGAGGGCAGGAATGCGTTCCGCATCACTGCTCTGTGGCCAGGTTGTTTTGTTCTGTTGGTTCTCCGTGTATTTCCTTCCCCATTTGCACCACATCCCTTATATTTAAAGTTGAAACTTCAGATCAAATGTTGCAAACACTAAGAGGTCAAAAGAAGGCTCTCGGTGGCTCAACCATCCAGCCGTGATGCAACCACCACAGCCCTGTATCCCCAGCACAGGGTGGCACATTTGGAAATGGAGGTTTCCATGAGGAACCATCACACTTCACCTCTCTGCAAGCTTAGTCGGCTCTCTGGGCTGGACCGGGAGAGAGAGAAAAGACACTCTGAGCATCTCTCCCTTCATTGCCCTTCACGAGACCCCTCCCCAGAATCTGCATCCTGCATTATCAACTTAGCAAGCATCCTAGGAATCTCCTTTTCCCATTTTATCATGAAACTGTTGAAGATGGGGGGGGGGGGGGGGGGGGTTCAGGGGCTGATAAAATGGTGACAGAGCCTACCACCAAGCCTGAGAGCCTGATTTTGATCCATGGAACCCACGCAGTGGAAGGAAAGAACCAATTCTTGAGAGCTGTCCTCTGACCTCCACATGCACACTGTGGCATATGCACACACACAAAGACGCAGCACACATGCATACATGTGCCTTTTTCTGCATGCACGCTGTGGTATATGCACACACAGAGAGACAGCACACATGCCTGCATGTGCCTTTTTCCGCATGCACGCTGTGGCATATGCACACACCCACACATACAGCACACAAGCTTGCATGTGCCTTTTCTTTTAAAAAAGAAAAGTCTTTATGCACACTGAAGGCCCTCCTTGAAGAGTGTGCCTTCAAGTTTCGAGAGCTGTGTCCCACATTGACCTTACAGATTGAGACTCTAAATGACCTGGAAGGAGTTGACTCACACTACACCAGAGAGCATCTTGTGCACAATGTCTTCTGCTTTGGAGCACCCAAGGACCACCTGAGGACTATTCTACCTTTGTAATTACTTGACTGGGTCTGGTATAGCAACATTCTACAGGCTGGGTACGTTAAACAGTACAGTTACTTTTTCACCTCTCTGTGTGTCTCTATCTCTCTCTTTCTCTTCTCCTCTCCCCCTTCATCTCACTATGCAGCCTAGAATGGCCTGGAATTCTCAATTCTCCTTCCACAGCCTCCTGAGTGCTTTAATTACAAGTTTGCACCAATTAGCTTTTGGGCCATGCAGATGCCAACTTACTGATCTCTTTTGTTACAGTAATATTAACCATGTTTGGGACAAGATCTCCTTTTTCTTCAGTTCCCCCTTGACTTTGTAGTCTGTGTCTCCACAGCCAGCCACATTCTAGACCACTGCTATGAATAATGAATTTGGAGAACAGTGGTGGCAGGGAGCACAGTTCCTTTGATAAATCTGTCTTCCTGTCCTCAGGTAGGACTTTCCGGGGAAAACAATCACCTTACCGAGTTAAGTAAACCAGGGGGACAGGCTTTGAACCTCGCAAGACACAGCCCAAGGTAAAGAAGATGACCACTATGGTCATCGGGTGGTGGAGCGTGGGTCGCACCCTGCAGCCAGGTACACTAGGACTCCAAACAGTAGGCCATGAGCAAGGCAGGCAGGAACCACCCAGGCTTGACAGCCCAACCAAGCGGCTGACTCATCTGTTGTTCGAGAGCCAGGAAGAGCATATGGCCTTACTGCAGTAGGCATTGCTTTGTTTCTTATCTGAAGCAGGCACATGGTACTTTTTCTTTCTTTGTTTCAGTAATGCTAACAACAAACATCAACTACACAGCTTATTGAATATTATCATGTGTTATCACTGTTTAATACAGAAAGAAACCGAAGCATGGAAAGATTAGATTCATTTATCTAAGGTCACCCAGTTAAGCAAGAAGAAAAGAGTATTTGAACTAAGAACTTGGACGACGGAGCACTTGGCTTCTTCCCTGTTTAGATCTATCTCTGGGAGATAGCATGATTTGGCTAGAACCCCGTAATGAGAAAAGCACAGGTCCCAGCTTCACTTTCCTGGTGCCCTAGCACCACAACTGTGACCAGAGACAAGTTAATCTCACTGCACTTGGTTGTCTCCTACTCAAAACAGAGGCAGCTAACAAAACTTCCAATCAAAGTAATATACATCATTATTATTTTCTTTTTCTTTCCTGGATGGCTATGACCGAAACTTTATCAGTCCATACTAGCAAAGTTGTCTTAAAAAGATGTCGTGCATTACAAGTTCACATTAATTACTACTTCTAATTTAAAACTACTTTTTGGGGGGCTAAAATGATGACTCAGCAGTCTGCTCCTGCAAAGGACCCAAGTTTGGTCCTCCGAGCCCACAATGGGCAGAGCCCACAATGGGCAGCTCACACCACACATCACTGCAGCACCAGGGAATCTGACACCCTCTTCTGATCTTTGAAGGAATCTGCTGGCATATGGCATACACTCACACAGACACACACACGTGGAGAAAAGGGGGGAAGGTATGCTTCTAGTTTATTCTTGCAAAAGTGTAAGCTGGGCTCCTGCTTTCCCACCTCCTCTCAAAAATCACTACTGATTGCTTATTAACACTGCATCTTCATTACCCCACAGTTTCTCAATCTCTAGGTGGACTTGACGGATAATTTAAAATCCATGTTTAATTTCTCACACAGGCTTATAGCAACAATTTTCATAAATTGATCCTTGCTAAAGTTCTCAGAGGCCTTGAAGCACAGGTGGTTCCATTAAAAAATGTATCTCTTAGATTTCTGCAGGGACATTTTTTGGGATGGGCTGGGCATGTTCATAGTTAATCGACAGTATGTAACAGCCTACCTTATTCATTACATTTCAAAAGACCTTACTCTTTTTTGCCTGAATTATAAGTTATGTCCTAACGCCTTTCATTTCCAGCTTAGGGATTTGAATCAAAGCCCATGGCATTGGACAGCTTGGCTAACTCAACTTTTCCCTAGGAAACGGCTTAAGGGAAAATGAAAATGGAGGATTGAGACTCACTCACTTTGAAGCGGAACCTTATTGAGTGGAGCAGCGAGGGGAGAGTGGACAGAGAGGACCTGCTGGGTCTTCCCTGTGCAGTATCCTGATCTTCTGAACGGAATAATCAGCAAGATGGGAATTCTTTTCTCCACTCTCCAGTCAAGGTGTTGCCCATTAGCCTGATGCAGAACTGAAGCCAGAACACAGCATTTTTCTTCTGAACCTGATCCCATGCTCTATAGAATGATGTATGTGCCATGTACGTTTAGCTCAAGTGCACAGTCTCTTAATGCTTATAGTGATTGCCTTATACTTGCTTTCTAGCTATCCAGACAGCAGGCTTTTCATCGATGGTAATGTAAAAATATGAGCACAATCCAGAACACAAATCAGTTCCAATTAGCAGGACCTAGGAGACATTGATTCTGCTTGATGAGTGTAAATGATCTGTCCATAGAGCACATCTGTGGTTAGAAACTTCTCTTATTTGCTAAAGCTGCGAGAAGACCAGCCAGCCTTGAGAAACGCTCTCTCTCTAGGTGAAGGATGCAAGGAAGACTGGATGCATTTCTAGTTCATGTGACTTTCATTCTGCTCACAGATGAATGGGCAAGACTTGAGGTTGGTGCTATATTTTTTCCATCAGAATAACTGTATGAGAGGGATACTGAAGATCTGAAAGTACGCTTCCAGATGTTTATGTTTTTACCCAGAGATAGTGGTGATCTTAGCCTTGGTGTCAGAAGCCTGTTTGTGAGAGGTGATAGTTAATGTGGAGACCATAACTGGTACTGAGAATAAAGCAACAGTTAAATGCTTAGCCCTAGATGGGACATCTAGAGCGCCCCTTCCAAGGCCCAGGGAACACTGTGGGAGACTGAATGAGAAGAACGTAAGAGCCAGAGGATGGGGGGGCGTGATGTGGAGCATTGTCTTCAGGACATGACATGAATGTTTCACTTGTGAACACATAGCAGCTGTGCTTACCTGTACAAGATGTCAGCATCCCACATACAATGGGATCGGGCTCATGAGACACACTCTTATTCTTATTCTTATTCTTATTAGCTATGGGCAGCTAATAGTTGCTGGGAAGGAGGAGCCTCTTTCTTCAGTGGTGTAGCCACTGGTAAGTTGCTTGTGCTCCTGTAAATAACACCCCACCCAGGCCCATGCAAGCAATCCTCTCTCTCTCTCTCTCTCTCTCTCTCTCTCTCACACACACACACACACACACACACACACACACACACAAGACTGTAGCTAGTAGGAGGGGGATTTCTTAGGAAAACAAAGGGGTCTGGCAAGAATGGGAGGGGCTTGGGTAAGGGGAGCTGTTAAAATGACCAAAATTACATGTGTGTGAAATTGTTCAAAACATAGAAGTTTTTTATGATGATATTTTTATTTAAGAATCTGAAAATGTAAGAAAAACTGCTGGGGAAGGAAATCAGGATAGGGGAATCCTGTAGAGAGAGGAAGGGGACAGGAATTAAATCATAATGCACACATCTAAGAAAATATCATGGTAAAGTTCCACTAATTTCTACAATTAATATACATTAATTATTGTAAAAATTTTAAAGTCTATAAACCTGATTACTTGGGAACAAAATGTCCAATTTGAAGCAAGAGACTGAAACAATACTTTCTCTTTAAAACAATAGCTGTGGAGCTAGAGAGATGCCGCCAAGGTTAAGAACAAGCCCTGCTCTCTTGGAGAAGACCAAGTTCAGTTCCTAGCACCCAAGTATGGCAGTTCACAACTCCTATAACTCCGGCTCAGGGATTGCAACACCTTCTTCTGGATTCTAAAGCTTCCTGTACACATGTGAGCATGCACAGACAGACACACAGATAAATAAAAATAAAATAAAAATATTTTTTAAAAAGGCGTAAAAGGGATAATAGCTGTAGGCAGTATGTATGGGTACATACTTGTAATCCCAGCATTTCGTCCACTGAGGTAGAAGATGACAGACTCAAGGTCAGCCTGTACTACATAGCAAGACTCCATCTAAAAGAAATGATAATAATTTGGGAAGGGTTCCTCAAAATGTAGAATTACGTTAAGTACGGCCCTCCAGTAAATCCATCAGTGACTTCATAAGCCGGTCAGATCCTCACAGTCCTGTAACATAAGAACAGTTTTAGACCTACAGAAGAAACCCACTCTGAGAGCTCAAGTGGCTGATCAAATGTAACAGGCTTCTAAGGTGATGACAGAATTTGAACCCAGGTCCTGTCTAGCTTGTGATCCCAGATGCCTCGCCTCTGTTAGCTGGCTGACTTCTAGAAAGCTGTAACAACTTTGGGTAGTCTAGTCCTGGACGTGGGGTTTCATGAAACAGCTTCTTCTTGAGATCTCAAGACCCATGTTTGTTAAATTAAAAACATCAGTGAAGATGAATTAAAATAAACTCCTCAGAGCAGTGGACAGGGCATAGTCCTGGCTTTTGCTGACTCTCACCTTAAAGCCCTGTTTCTAAGCATTCCGCGCTCAGGTCTCTCGTGTAGCTTCCTTTTCAAGCTGCCCATTAACAGGCCTCCTTGTTTAAACGAAGCTGGATTTCTTAAACTTCCTCACGTCCACCTGTCCTTGCTCTGTCACAGAAGCTGTCTTTCCCATTGGAAAGTTAAATGTGGCTACAGATTCCTTATAGCCCCTCCCTTAAATAGGTGGTGCCTATTTTCCCACCTGCTCGGATCTGGGCTGACTTTGGGACTTGCTTTGGGTCACAGAATGTGGCCGAAGCAGCATCCGTGACCCACAATGCCCCCACCCACCCCACTCGGCCACCCCCTCCTGAAAGGTCCGTAGCTTCTGCTTTCACTCCCCATGAAAAGAGAAGCTCACACGCAGCCGTCCAGCTGCGACAAAAGCAAGGCCATCTGTGACCCGACCACCAGCAACCACAAACAGAGAGAGAGAAGACCAGAGAGCAGAGAGAAGCCATCCTCCTGAGCTCTGAGCTCTGACCAAACTGCCAAGCCAAGGGACGGTGACCAGTAAATGGCCGTAGCTTTCGTGGCCAGTAGTTTGGAGATGATTTGTTACACACCTCTCTCTCTCTCTCCCTCTCTCCCTCTTTCTCTCTCTCCCTACCCTCTCCCTACCCCTCTTCCACCCCTCCTCTCTCTCTTTCTCCACTAGTATCTTCTCCACCCACAGGAGATGCCCAGGACTTTTCAAGGCTTCCTTACTTATGTAAGAGCATAAGCGCCTAATATTATTTAGGTTTCTGTTGCTGTGATAAACACCATGAGCAATAGCAAACTTGGGGAGGAAGGGGTCTACTTCATCTTACAGCTTATAGTCCACCATGAAGGGAAGTCAGGGCAGGAACCCGGAGATGGGAACTGAGGCAGAAGCCATGAAGGGGTGCTGCTTACTGACTTGCTCCTCATGGTTTGCTAAACCTGTGTTCTTAAGTAATCCAGGGCCACCTGCTAGGGGGTGTCACTGGATTGGGCTCAGGGCCCATCCACACCAATCACCAACCAAGAAAATGCCCCACTAGCTTACCTACAGGCCAGCATGGTGGAGGCGTTTTCTCAGCCAAGGTGCCCTCTTCCCAGAAATTCCTCACTGGTACCAAGTTAACAAAAAGCTAACCAATGAGCATTAACTTCTAAATTAAATTTTAAGAGGTACTCATAGGGAGAAAAAGCTGTGGTTTTTGTTTTCTTTTCAGTATTTTAAAAAAAAAATTACAGAAATAGAGAGTGATTCTAATATAAGGTCAATTTCCAAAGTGGTGGCGGGTGGTGGGGGCAGAGCGTGGTCACTGACCCAACTAGAACACACGCCTTTATGGAGACACATGAAATAACTACATATCTAGCTTCGATAGTTAATTAGGTCTCCTTAAGAGAGTCTCATGGAACCTGGCAGCTCTAAAGTCCCAGTGAGCCTATCTCTGTCCCACCCCAAGCACCAGGGTTCTAGATGATTCCAGCCTTAAGACTCCATCGGGTTTTCTACGGGGAAGTTCTAGGTATTGAACTCAGATCCTCACACTTGCATGGCCAATGCTGTCACAGGCCCGAGTAATCTCCCTAGCTTGTTTGTTTGTTTTTAACATAAATTTATTAGAATTTTTATCCCTCGGCAAAAAGATACTCCTTCACTGCCAATACAGCCAGCGTTTGTTCCGTTCAACCAAGTACCCACTTGTGATCAACACAGGACAACTTCCAGGGCCACGTTCAGAAAGGTTGGTTCACAATGGCTTCCGCAGCTTATAACATGGACCTTTCCACTTACTTTGGTAAATTTATTCTTTCCTTTTTTTTTTAACCTGACAGCAATAATCACAATTTTCCTTTTTTGAAAAATTGTCTATGTTAGATATGTGTTTGTGTGCATTGCAAGCACATGTATGTGGGCGCCAGATGTCAATGCCAGGGCTCTTCCTCTGTAGCTCTCCATCCTTTTTCCTTGAGGCAGGGTCTCTCACTGATCCTGGAGCTTACTAGTTGGCTAGACTGGCTAGTTGGTGGGCTCTGAGATCCACCTGTCTCTACACATGCAAGCACACACGAGCAAGCACGCACACACACACACACACACACACACTCACCAAGCTTTTACGTGGGTGCCAGGAATCCTCATGTATACACAACATATACTTTATCAATTGAGTCATCTCCCAGGCCTTAAGTTTGTGGTTTCCTGAGGTCATTTTAGGTTCCTGTCTCTCCTCCAAATAACATTTCGCCTGTCAAAGAGCCACAGCATTGCATAATGCAAACTACTGTGGACCGACTCAAAAGGACAGCGGACACCATTTTTCTTCTTAGGGTACTGAAGAACCTGAGACCCGATAGGCCAGAGACCTAGGAGGAAACAAACCCTGCTGTTCTGCTCAAGGAACATAGCAATAAAATGACTTCTAATGACATTCTGCTGTCCTCCTAGCTCAGCGCCTTCCTCATCCACCCTCCCCAGAGAAGCTTCCTCCTGTAGCAGACGGGATGAAATACAGAGACCCAGCTAGGCATTATGCAGGAAGAGCGAGAGATCTTGGAACATTCCACTCTCCAGATCTCTCCCTCCAATCCCTTCACTCAGGACTCCAGGAACCCTGCAGAAGAGGAGGCAGAAAGAGTGTAAGAGCCAGAGAGGATGAATGGCAGGGCAGAATCGAGGCTTTCTAGGCACAGCGGGGCTGGTCTCGTGCTCCTGTTCCCAACCCAGAAACCTATCCAATTGATAACAAATGAAACATTGGTTTTCTCTAAGGGAGTCTCACTGGGGAAACAAACCACTCTTCAGGGTAGGCCCCAGACCCAGGGTGGATGAGCAACACAAAATACAACAGCTCCTTGGGAGGTTCTTTGTCTCATAATGTTAAGCTGAAACATTGTGTTTGGGGCTTTGGGAGCTTTTTGCTTGTTTGTTTATTTGTTTTGTTTTGTTTTGTTTTGCTTTGTTATCTTACAGATTCTTTGCTTCCCATTTGGGAATGTGTGTGTCTGTACGTGTATTTCTGCATGTATATGTGCATGTGTATGTATATGTGTATGTATATGTGTATATCTATGTATCTACCTGCATTTCCTGTACTTTTACTTCCGCTCTTTTTCTTGTCTGATTGTTTTGTCATATTCTGATTTGTTTGGTTTTTATTTAACTTATTGTATTTTATTTTTCTTTATTATTCCTTAGATTGGCTGGTTGGTTCTTTTTTTTATTGTTGTTGTTTTTCCTAAAGAGAGACAGAAAGGGTGTGGATTCAGATGAGAGGGGGGTCTTGGAGGAACTGGGAAGAGTAGGGTTAAGGAAAACCATAATCAGAATATATAGTATGAAAAAAATTCTTTTCAATAAAAGAAAAATAAGGAATCTTGATGTGGGGAAAACCAAATGTCCTTATCTGGTTTATACAGTGTTACATACCTGTTGAACCTGATGTGTAGTTGCTATTTAACACTATGAGTTGAGCATTTCTCTAATTAGAAATTCAGTCATTCCCTGAGCCCGTCCTGTAGCTGTGTGTTCAGACTGTCGAAAGAAGCAGAGGTAGCCCTGGCAAATACTGGCTCCTTACATCTTAGCTTTTAGCTTTAATGGCTTTAGATTTTTTTCCAAAGTAAAATATAACAAAATTGAATAAAGAAATGTCCCTGCTCAAAATAGATGAAGCATTCAACAATGAATTTAACAAAATATGGTCAAGTCTTGAATAATAGTATAGACTACAGAGTCCTATAAGAGACAGAGAAGGTTAACCCTGGAGGGCTGGGCAGAGGAAGTTCATAAAGCAGTCCAGAACTGGCCATTCAGTAAATTCAGAGGCTGCCTGAAGTCATATGTAGATAGGCATGAGCTGTGCCTATGTTTTGTGCCGAGTAACAATATTCAGAACCAGATAACAAAGACATAAAGATCCCCCAATGAAAGACACAGATCTGAGATGTTACCTCAGCCACCCTGGACCCGAGAGAGTGGTGACCAGAACCAAACATTCTTGTAGTGTATAATGACAATTTCCTAAGAGGTATGTACCTGTTTAACAAAACTGAATTGTTAATTTTCCTAGCATTTTGTAACGATAAGAATAATAGTGAACAATTTATTTGGTACTTCCTAAAGTTCCAATCTAGTTCTCCTTTGTAATAGGAGAAATGAACTTTCTCTGAGTTTGTAACAAGTCCTGGCTAGGAATAGCTCCATGAAGACACGTGGGACATTTGCGAGCTGGGTGCTTTTTGATGGTTTGTCAGTTTGCTAACTCATAATTTGCAATATAGGGACAGAGTTTCTGGACTGTGCTCCACCTGAAACAGAGCAGTTCTGCTGAGTGAGAACCAGTCTGGCCACACCTTGCTTAGTAGGCAACAGCCGAAGGTTTCCTGGACACAGCACTCTGCCCAGAGCAGGTTTGGAAGAAGGAGAAAGAAACATAGAAGGCCTAGACCTGCAGGGCTGGGGCAAGTATGAGCATGAAAGGCCCCGAGAAGCCTGGCATCTTCTCTGGCGCACAGGGACCAGCCCTGCCGCCCCGATGGCTCCATCAGCACCTCACTATGCGTTTCCATGCCCCCATGTGACACAGCACACCCAGTGCCGCTCTGCCTGGCTCTCCTCTCCCTCCGGTAAGTTCCAGAAGCCATGCTTGGAGAACTAGAGACTAGTACAGAGACTAGAATGCCAACAAGTCAGAAGAAAAATGACCTGTTGGAAAATCGAGACACGAACAAAAATGACTTTGAAATCATTGTACTAGAAAAATTTTAATGCATGAAACCTTGACTACATTTTCATTGAGATGAGACTTGTATGTCTTTTTGACCTTGGAAACAAGAACTGAAAGCTGCCAGGACCCCCTAACTCTAGAGTGCCTTGAACCTTGCTACTATGTATTTATTGCATAGGAAACAAATGCTCCTCCAGCACGGAGGAAATCACACAGTGGTGAACATTTCTTGGTTGTCTACAAGGCCCTGGACTCAGTTCCCTGCACCATAGAATGACAAGAGGAAGGAAAGAAGGGAGAGAAGGACAATGGAGGGAAAGAGCCAACCAGATCTTCCAGGTGTGAGGGAGGGTGTTCCTCCAACAGCGACCAGACGTCTTTGAAAGCCCACAAAATGAGGAGTGAAGTGATGGACAGAGAACAGACCCAGCCCGAGGCTTAGGAAACACCCCACCTTATTGAGTGTAAAGCCTCAAACGACGTCTTCATCAGCGCAACCCAGACTTCTGAACCAGGAAACACACCAATGGAAAGGAACGTTCTGTGGGAGTTTAAA